CTCTGAAGCATGAAGATCGATAGTGTTTGCAGGTTTATTTTAATTTGTGTAAATGCAAGTTTATCCTAGACAGATAAATAAGTACTTCTTTAAAAATCTTACTAAACTATTTGTCTAAAGATATCCTGTAGCAATGAATTCTACGTTATACACACACACCAACTAAACATACAATTCCTTTTATCCATTTCAGATTTTCTGCCTTTGATTGAAGAGTACCCTTTTTGCACTTGCATTATGGGAAAGGTAAAATAGGAACACCCAATTAGCCTTCTTCACACATTATTCTATATACCTCAGTCATATTTATTTCTTCCTCTTCTGGTATTAGGGAAACAATTGTCCGATTTCTACTTTGAGGTTTTTATCTTTCAAGCTAGTTCTTTCTAAAAATTGAGTCCTCTACTGAATGTTTTTTGGGTACAAAAGAGAAAGAGAAAGAAAATCAGAACTTTATACAAAGGGATACTGATACATTATTGTTCCATTATATTGACTACAATAGTCTTGCAGTATTTATTTTCCCTTTTCACCCTCTTGTTTCTCCACTTGTTTCTAATTGTTTTTTTGTTTTGATAGTTCTTATTCTTTCATTTGTACTGTAGTTTCTTCTTTCTTGAGCATGTGTCAGATTATACCTTCATTTCTATTTGGTGTCTTTTGTTCAGCCGCCAATAACAATAACTTGTTTTATAACACCATCTTGAATGATCCCAGTGTATGATACAGATTGCTGCATATACATGGATCAGTCATCAGTACTGAAATGCAGCCCCTCCTGGGGCTAAGTATGAATGCTATTCTGTGTCAATAACTCAACATGACAATTTTCTGTAGGACAAGTAAACAGAGGTTTGCAAATTTAAGTTACAGGAGAAATTTTAGGTAGCCAGAAAGTAGTTATGCATTGCCTTGGTTATTTTTTGCTCTTTGGCCTGTTTTTCTGTCTTCTCTGTGTTTTGCTCACTCTTTGATTTTGATCTCTTTCTCCCTCAGCCTTTTAAAATACATTGATTTTTTTTGTCCTTGTGTGTATTATTTCCCCCCCCACACACACACATACACACAGACTAATGCTCTCAGCTTCCCCACTTTTGTATTGTCAGAATTCCCCTCTTTCTGTATCTTTTTATATGAACCATTTAATCATTTTCCAGATAAAGGAGGCATCAGTTGTAGAGGACACTTCTGCTCAGTACACAAATTCTGAAGTCTTAATTCATATTTTACTCAAAAAAATCCTATTTAAGTCAACAAACTAAGCACCGAGGTGAGTTATTTTTTGCATGAGTAATGATTGAATTAAACCTAAGTAAAGACTACATGATTTGGCCCACAGAACCAGATTTTTAAAGGTATAGAGAGATGCCTAGTGGGATTTTCAAAAATGTCTAGGAGGTTAGCTCCCTTTGAAATCATAGTGACTAACAGCCACATGCTGGGTTTCTTTTTTAGAAAATGCCTTGAATGCTTTGAATTAGATTAAGATGTTAATACTAGAGAAATATTTTCTTTGTACTTGAGGACCACAAGTAGTGATGCATCTCCCTACTCTTTCTATGTAGCTGAGATAGCTCTGTCCACAGAGGTTGCCACCCCATTGCCTCTCCTTGTGGCAAAGCATAGTGCTGCAGGCCCTCTGCCTCAGTTTACCCAACAAGTATTTCCTACCTGCTCTGGTGGTTTATGTGGCTCAGCCATCCATAAGGTCACCACAAAAATTCAATCCCAGCCCAAACTAACAGGTAAAAACAACAACCACCACCAAGGAAAAAAACCACTCCCCACATACTCTAAGTAGAGGAGCCTTTGCCTCAGCTGGTCTTAATTATCAGCCTTTCTGAGGTCATTCATCCATTCACCCTCTTGGTTTAGCTCTCCATCCCCTTCCTGTCAGGACACTATTTGCCATAGCTTGGCTTAAGACCACCAGCAAAGCTTGTGTACATCCAAATAGTCCCCTATCAAGGTCTACCATCCCTTTAGAGAGGCTTGAACAGGCAGCAATCCTACTCAACATTGGACTCCTACCCACCTTTTCTCCCCAAGGGAAGCTGTTCCTCTTCACTGCTTGCTAACCAGCCTCCTACTGACTGCATTCTCCTCTTTTGAGTCCTACCCTTCCTGTCTAACATCCACTACAGATGGTGTGGGCAGGGCTAATTAGGCTCACAGCAGTACCTTCAGATTTTGTAAACCCTATCAGAGTCCCTGAGAGCAAAATTTAGGTTTTCTCATCTTCTGTCATTTATGTCTTATTAAATGCTGAGAAGTGAGAGTACCTGTCTGGCTAGATAGTTGCCCTTTGATTTCCTTTTCCCTTCCTTGTCAAGTCCTTTTGCTTCCTTTATTATGAGATGAAAAATCCATTGTTTTTAACGTATAGAATTTCTCAGATACTTTATGAGACCCGGTAAAAGTTTATGAAGTTGTAAATATATGGGATTTAAAGATGTTTTATTATAAAGTACTTTCTGAAAATATGTATTTTAACTAGAATGGGTATTTGTACAGGTATTTTTTATGCTTGTTAGAAGATAAAAATATTTTCAAGAATATTTTATAAACTTGTAACAGCATGCATTTTTGGAAAATGGACATCAGGAAAAGAACACATGAACTACTATTTTAAAAACACAATCCCTGCAGGCCACTCTGATAAAAGAAATGAACCACTGGTCTAAGAGGATGGGCGTCCTCTTGCCAACTATGCCAACCCCATTCTCCAAGGAGCACCAGCAACACTTATCTAGAAAATCTTGCTTGTCCCATACTCTTTTTCAAAATGTACCTCTTCCCTTATACATTGATACACACTCACTCTCTCTCTCTCAAACATAAGCAGTATTTTGCTGTTGATTGCATCCCATTCCTCTCATCTCAGGTCATACCAAAAGCTGTAGGAATACTATGGTAATGCTGTATTGTACGGAATGTAACTGTATATTTGTTTTTAATAAAGGGGAGTGAGGAAGAATATGCAATGTAACTCTTAAACCAAAGAGGGAATGGGGGAAGGAGGAAAGAGATGAAACATGTACTGTTGACTCTTCGTTTTGAAAGTGCGTGGACACACAATTTCCCCTCCATTTTCTTTCCCAGGAAGGATGTGGGGGATAGAGGGTATTAGTCTCTGAAGCAGAGCTATCAAGCAAGGCCAAATCTGTCATATACAGTAGGTAGTTCAGGTAGGTGAGATGCCTCTAAAAGACAGCAAAGTACTGGAAGGTAGCAAAATATGTGAAGTCTATTCATTGATTGAGTGATTGCCTCTCTCTCTCTCTCTCTTTCTCTGAGGGAGAGAGAGTATGCAATTTAGCAAGAAACCTGGGTTCAGTTTTAAATATGAATTTATGACTAACACAACTCTCTCTCTGTCTCCTGGGGAAGAGGATGGGCACTTTCCAGTCACTCCAGTGTATATGTAGAGCAGAAAAGGAAACTGCAGGCAGTAGTAAATATCAAGGCTCCAGGACATTTGTTTGTTGACACTTTTATCCGATGGGTAGAGGCATTCCCAACCCTTCATGTTTGTTAACAGATAAATCTGAATAGATATCGCTTACCCAGGTCCCGCTCCTATTTTGTTTAAATCCCCAGTAACAGCCCAAAATGCTTCAGCATGCAAATGTTAGTGAAGTGTTTTGTGGCAATAGCTGTATAATACTGTAGTCTTTATTTACAAAGGATAAATCCTGCAGTGGGGTGTGACAATCTCATGAGAGGAGGTGTGTGTGTTGTGGTGGCATAGTTTAAGGTGGAAAAGCTGTGTGAGAGACAGTTCATAGGTGTTGCAGTGTCTGGGGATGGAGGGGAGGTGTGCTGGAGGGTGATGGTGTTCAAGAGAGGGAGTGTGTAGGTGTGTGCAGTGGTGATTGACTGTGTCCATGAGGTGAAGATGACTGTGTTGGAAGGGGGCAAGTGACTGTCTATTGTGGGACAGTGCTGGGGGGGGGAGGGAGGAAGGACTGTTTTTCTGTCTACTTGGGAAAGATGGATAGTGTTGGAGGAGAGCTGTTTTCAGCTGATTATTTATGAGGGAAAGGTAATGGTGTTGTAATGGATGATTGGGGGGGGGGAGATGATAATTTTTGAAGGGGGCAGGCATTTATGTGTGAGGAGTTTTAAGGGGAACAGCTGATTGTCCAGGGAAGGAAGGTGAGTATATTGCAAAGGGGGAGCAGCTGTTTGTGTATTAGGTGGGGAAGTGACAGACTGTTGCAAAAGACAAGTGACATGTTGGTGGGAAGGTGACTGGGGCCATAGGGGAAGATCACTGTGTGGAAGGGGGCAGGTGACTTGTGTGCATGGAAGGTGATGGTGATGGTGTTGGAAGGAAATGTTTGAATATGAACATTGTTCCAATGGGGGGAGGTGACAGTGTCCTTGGTGTGTGTGGTAGGGGTGTATGTGCGTAGGTGTGTGCAGAGGGGTAGGGCTGCCACCTGTCCAGGTTTTTCCAGGATTGCCCCGTGGCTGAGGCAGCTGTCCTGGGCAATCTGTAGGGTGCTCAGTGCCCCCCGCCAGCGGTCCAGTTGTGTGGGCTCAGGATCATGCCAGATGGACCTCAGAGGTGGCTGCCCTGGTGTGTGGGGGGTTGACTGTGTCCCTGCTACGCGATGGTGACAGTGCCCCGGTGGGGGAGGGGGCACAGGGGTGACAACCCCCGGCAGTGAGGGCGGGGGCGGGGGGAGGCGTCTCGGTGTCTGTGCCGCGTGGCGGTTGCAGTGACTGTCTCGCGCTCGCTGCCCCGCCCGGCTCGCGCCGTGTAACGGTCTCTTGCTCTCTCCGTTCGGAGGCGGCTGTTTGCGTCTGGAGCCGGACCGGCGCGAGCCGCCCTGACAGCGGGACCCGCCCCCTCCCCTGTCCCAGACCCGCCGCCTCCGCCCCGGTCACCTTCCCGGCTGCTGAGGGCGCAGAGCGGGGTCCCCGCCCCCGGCTCCGGCTCGGGCCAGCGGCTGTCCCGGGCGGCGGGGGGATGAGCTGCGCGGGGCGAGCAGCATCCCCGGCCCCGGGGAGCCGCAGCGAGACCCCGCCGCCGCCGCCGCCGCCCCCCTGGAGCTACCGGTCGCGGAGGAGAGCGCGGGGCTGCGGCGGCTGCAGCCCCAGGAGAAGCCGGCGGCCGACGACCCCCCGGGGCGGGGCAGAGCAGCGGCTCCGGCGGGACCCCCCCGGGCCCCTCCGAGGGGAGAAGGGGCGGCTCGGAGAGAGCCCGGGGGGAGGCGGGGGCCGTGGGCGGCGACAAACCCGAGACCCGCTCCGTGTGCGGCAGCGATAGCGGCAGCGACAGCAACCCCGGCGGCGCCGGCCCCATCTGCAAGATCTGCTTCCAGGGCGCCGAGCAGGTGAGAGCCGGCCGGCCAGACGGACCCCCCTCCCCCGCACCCCCGGGAGGGACGGACAGACAGACAGACCCAGCCCGGCCGGCCAGACACACACCGCACCTGCGCCGCCTGCCGCTCTCTGGCGCGCGCGGTCCGGGGCAGGTTGCTGGAGGCTGCTGGTCCCAGCCCGCCGCGGTCAGCACCCTGGACAGGGCTCTGGGCCGGACCCCGCGCTTCGACTTTCGCCGCCAATGGCAGGAAACCGAGCCCCGAAGTGGCCGAGTCGAGCAGGTTCAGTTCCGCGAGGCCGCCCTGGGTTGGCTCGTAACTCAGCTCAGCGACAGCTGGGGGCAAATGCAATCGCGGGCCTGTACAATGGGCACAAGAGCGGGGGGGCGCGACAAGCCTCTGTGAAGAGCTTTGCCAGCCGCCGCTGCAAATCTAGAAAGGCAGGGAAATTATTGGTCTATTTGCTTGGGATGCAGCCTCTCCCCTCAAAGACTTCAAGAGCAAAATCCCATTCTCCAGGCTTCTTGTCTTCTACATTTTAACCAACCATTCCCAATAGTTTTATGAAGAAAACCTAGGGAAAGATTTCATGATTGGTCATTATCACAATATCGGAGCCGGACACTTCCACTAGCATTTTACTCTATAGCTGTCAGCTTAGTCAGCCAGCTCCCTCTCTGGGCCATTATGACATAAATAGGGGGATTTGGTTTATTTTCTCTTAAAAAGGAAGGAAATGGAAAAAAAGAATGCTATTATTTGTAGTGTCCAGTTAGATTTTAATATATGAGTCTACTAACTTTGTGTTTTATTTTAGAACATAGGTGAGGGCGATTGTTAGTATGAGAGGTAGCCTATTACATTTTTGAAGTAGCATCACAGAAATAAGAAAGCTTCAACCAAGCACACAGTCATCCATGTATTTGTTACAAGATGTAATTCTGATGGGAAAGACATATTTAGATTATTTTTTTTAAATGTTCATTTTGTAGAGAATTTTTATGGTGTAATTGCTGACAGTCAGGAATCTTAACAGTACAAATGCTACTGTAAGCATGCAGTTCACTATGATGTCATACATTTCTTTCTTATCCATGATTAAGAATTACTGCAGAGAAAATACATCTAACCATCCATCTAAAGTTACTCGAAAGAGATCATAATGTGACCATTGGCATAATAATTACACATGCAGTGAGTTACCTGTTGTTTGTAATGTGGTAGAATATTTAAGTTGGAGATAATGATATCTTTAAAAGAGCTCTAACTTTTGAGTTTTATTTTAGCCAAAAATATAAAAGTGTAGGATAGAGACTAAAACAAACTCATTGTTCCAGAACAGATAACATGAAATATTGTGTAAGAAAACAAAATAAATCCCTCTGACATTTATTTTTGTCTTGTTTCAGGGTGAATTGTTAAATCCTTGCCGATGTGATGGGTCGGTACGGTACACACATCAATTGTGCCTCTTAAAGTGGATCAGTGAAAGAGGGTCATGGACCTGTGAGCTCTGCTGTTACAGATACCATGTTATAGCAATTAAAATGAAAAAACCTTGCCAGGTAACATTTTTACATACTTACAGATCAAAACTGTTACTTAGTTTCTATATTTCAGAGACTTGCTAATGTTAATTTATGGCACACAGGCAGATTTTATAAAATATTGATTTATTCTCCTCCTTGATATTGTCTCAGCAGATCACCTCTGTGAGATTGCATGCCCTGCTGTGAGGCACTGGACCCCATTTCAAAGTGCTTAGTCATTGGGGAAGAGTACACACCAGAGTAGGATCCAGTCATTTGGTAGGGGGAGGCTCTTCTGCCTTAAGACTACTTACAGAAGAAGTTCTTGCCTCTATCCCAATAAGAGCTGTTTGGATCCCTTGCTTGTAAGCAGAGCAGCCAGGTCCTCTAAGGACTCAGGGTGCACCCTGGATGCATCTTCTTCAACAACATGCAGGAAGTGTTAGGGTTAAACAGTCATCCAGTAATATGCATTAGTTCTCTGGATCTGGTAAAGACTCAAAGATTGGTTCCACGTATGCCCTACCACTATGGATTCAAAAGTGATAAAGCCTCCTTGGATCTAAGCCAATCTTATCCTTTGGGTCCTATTTTGGTGCTTAGCCACATTCTGAAAGATTGAGGTGAGGGACAAAAGGTGGCTTGATGGTGGTTTTTCAGTTTCCCAGTTCTACAGTCAGGGCCACTTCAACCCCTGCTACGACCTACAGCAGCATAAGAGTATATAGATGTAGCAGTTCCCCAATAACTGTTCCAGGAGCTGAAGCATGCAGTACCACTTTGGCCAAGCCTTCTTTTTCATGACCACACCAAGGAGCTTCAAAGTAGAATAGCATAGAGCCAGCCCTCCTGAGAAAACCCTTACTTAGACCAGCTTAATGGCCCCTTTGCACTGCCAGAATGGTTTAAAAGCACTATGAGCCCTATAAATCGGAGTAGTGTGTGCCTGAGACCAATCTAAGATATTTGTATAATTTGTTGGATCCCATGAGTCCAGGGTTGATCGAACCTCCTCAGATCCAAGGCACTCAGATCATTTCCTTGATCCTGCAAGTCTGAGGGTGATGGGCTTTCCATGGATCCAAGGTGCTTAAATTCTGTCAGATCCTAGGAGTCTGAAGGTGAAAGGGCCTCCTTAGGTTGAAGGCATTCTGATCCTTTGTCCATATACTAGGTGCCTTCACAAACAGATGTGTCTTCAGGCCTATTCTTTCAGGTTCTCCACAGGGAATTCTCCCAAACTTCTCCATACTTCAGATCTAAAGGGTGTTGGGGGACCTGGCTTTGCCTCTTCTCAAACCCAACAGGGACATGAATTTGAGGAAGGCTCCAGAGGATAAAGGCATGGATTCTAGGGGTTATCCTTCTGGTACTAAAATTTCTGGGGCACATTTGCCAGCTCCAGAAGGATAAAGGCATGGATTCTAGGGGTTATCCTTCTGGTACTAAAATTTCTGGGGCACATTTGCTCTTAAGTGATGAGGTCTGATCTCTTCTGTAAATATAATTGGTGTGAGTGCCACAGCTTTTCTGTACCACTGGGCAGTATAGTCCCTGCTTTTAAATTCTCAGGATTGCTCAAGACCAACAAGCTTCAGGATACATACATCCATATATCTGGAAAGCAGAAGCCCAGAAAGTACCTCAGTTTCAATGGGGTTACTAATTTGATCACCAGAGATTATGTAATAACCTTTTGATGAACAATTGCTACAAAGGTGGATGTCTAAGTGAAAACAGTTTAAAAATTTGGAGAGCCTAACGAGAGAATTCCAGTCTTTTGTCTCCTCAATTATTTTACTGTTTTTTTTTTTCATTGGTGGAGTCAGGTTTGTTGGTCTTCCCTTTGTTTGTGCAAATGAGTTCAGTCTCAATCCTTTAGAAAATGGTTATTTTAAAGATTCTATGACAATTTATTTTCATATTATAGCTTACATATTAATATGGCTAAACACTTGGTTCTCATAGGGCTTATGAAAGCTCCTTTTGTGCCTCTTAGTACCTGTTTCTTCTGGCATCAATCAGTGAAGTTTCCTTTGCAAGTGGCTATAGTACCTACCAGAAGAGTTTCAGAACCACAGTTTTTGATAGCAAATCGTCCTTGTGCAAATATTCACAATGATATAGTAGTCCTAACATCACATCTCAAATTCTTGACTATGCTGGTCTTGGACTTTCATTAAAATCAGGCAAGTTTTTTTAAAGCTAGGATTTTACTAAGCCTTATAATCCATTTAAGTTTGGTTCCACACTTTTGTTGTTAAGAGGGGCTCCTGGGCAAGTCTAAACCATATCCACACAACCCATGGCAGATGCAGATACTTGCTGCAGAAATGGAAAATTAAAGACTCTCCAGTGTGTGACTGTGGTAACCAAGAACAGACCATGGAAAATATAACAACTCAATGCCTGATTCACAAATATGAAGGAGGCATCACAGCAATACTCTTGCTATTTCAGACGCAATTATCTGGCTTAATAATCTAAATGTAAAATTATAGTTGTTGCACTTACATTTACATCAGCCATATGAAAAAGGAAAAGACTGGTCATTTTCTTGACCGGAAAAAGCCCTTTAAGGTAATTTGTGGCTTTTGGTGAAAAGCTAAGACCCAATTCATTTCAGTCCAGAGATGATTCAAGTGCATCATATGCCATATTTCAGACAGGCTAAACACTCCTTGAAGTTCCTGTACAACCAGGAACCAATGCGCTCTTACCAAAGAGGTAGAATATTCTCCAGAGTATTCTTAGTCATGTGCTGATTGTTGAAATCTGCAAAGATGAAATTTGATTAATACCTTAACAAAATGTTATTTTCAGTATTGAGTCCAGTTCAGATGAGATACTTCATTTGGGAGAGCCGTATTTTAGTCATTCTTCAATTAGCACTATTCCTCAACCCATCTCCTGAGAAATGTCACTAATATCTAATCTCTCGCAGATGGGATCTGAGTAGATAGTGTCATGAAAGAGAAAGATGGCTTATTTACCCACATAACTTTTGTTCTCAAATGTATTGCCTCTGCAGAGCCACACCAGTCCTCCCTTTCCCCTTCTACTTCAGAGATTTACAGGATGTGCCCAGAATTAGAGAGGAAAAATTAGGAGTTGGGTTTTTTGTAACCCTTAGTTCCAGAATGTTGGAACAACCAGCCATGTGAACATTTCTCCTAGCATCAAACTGCTTTGTATGGTTTCTGTTGTTGTATGGCATGCAATCTCAAAGTGGGCCTCTATGGAGGCAGTAGATTCAGGGAACATTTATGTTGGTAACCTCTTTTTCAGTATATTTTGTCATGGTGCACATCTAACCACATGTCAGCTAACTAACATCAAGGGGCTCACTCCTGAAAATATGCAACATCTTGATAGGATTAGGCACGAAAGCATAATTACAAACTGAGAAAATTCATATTTACTTCTAAGATTAGCCAATTGGTTTGCTGGCAGTGGGCGATGTAGATTACAAATTAATTGGAGAGATGCAAGTTGTGCATTTTCCCCCCAGTATCCTGTCCTTTCAGTGAGCCAGATGTAAACAAGCATAACTCTAATAGTAAATGTTAAAGTCAGTGGAATTGCTCCTTTTTACAGCAGGGAAAAATTTGTCCCAATTCTGATGCTTGCTTTGTCTCTGGTCCAATGATTCTTTCATTTTTATCCAGTGGAACGGGGGTGTTGATAAATGTGTGAGAATGACTCTGTAGCCTGGTGGTTATAGCATGCATGTGGGAGACCCAGGATCTAGTCCTCCTGCTCCAATGATGTTTTTAAAATTATCCAGAGTGGAACAGCTTCAATAGGAGAGATTAAGGGAGCCTCACATTAGAATATCCCATAGTGCAGAGGCTAGAGCACCTACCTGAGAAGCAGTGGGTATCAGTTTAAATCCCTTCTTCCCAGTCAGGTAGAGGGGAAACTTGAACTGGGCATCTCCCACATGTCAGGTGAGTGCCCTAACCACTGGGCTAAACATTATGAGGGAGGGTCTCCTCCCTTGCATTTTGTGTAAGCTTCTCTATAGGGGCCTGATTTGATAGGCAAGCCCTGATCATACTTACTGGATTGGGCCCTGCAGGCAATTAGATGGAGGAATGCCTATCTTCCCCTAGTTCGTATGTTGCTTTGGGGCTATAAAAGAGAATAGACTACTTTTTCTAAAATGTTTTATATTTTAAACTGTTATATATGATCATAGAATCATCATTTGTGGATGGAAATGCAAGAAATATTAGTCAGTTAACATTGTAATTTGTTAGTTTTCAAGAAAGAGGAGTCCTAGTGATGAATTAATTTAGAAACTGATTTAATGTTAAGTTGAGGAAAACATCTTAAATGTTATGCAGAAAGAACCAGCAAGATATTTTAGACATAGCCTGAATGTGAGGACATAAAGATAGGTCTGAGTTGAAGATGATTCCAAGATTACATGTCTGAGTGACAGGCAGGATGATGGTGATATTCAAAGCAGTTTGGTGGGGATGGAGGGGTGAAGGAAGAAGAGAGAGAGAGAGATTAAGTACTCTGTTTTAGCCATGTTGAGCTTGAGCTGATGATTAGACATCCATGAGGTGATGTCAGAGAGACATGCCAACATTTTAGTTCAGATAGAAGACAATAGAGCTGGAGTAGAAAGGTAGATTGTGAGCGGTCAGTATAGGGATGGTAGTTGTCTGCAGATGAAATTACCAGAGACAAGCTGTAGAGGGAGAGCAGCAGGAGATCTAGGACAGAGCCCTGTGGAACCCCTCACAAAAAAATTGGTGGGCAGGGAATTCTCCAAAGGACAGGCAGAAGAAGAGATTAAATAAGTAGGAGGAGAACATGGAAAAAGGACAAACACGGAAGCCAAAAGTGGGCAAGATTTCAATAAGAATATGGTTGACAGTGTTGAAAAGGGCTGACAGGACAAGGAGGAGGAGACTAGAGTACTGATTCTGAACTTTGGTTAGGAAGAAGTCAGAGACTTTGTAGAGAGCAAGGGAATGGAGTGCAAGGGGCAGAAGCAAGATTGGAGAGGCAAGGGGTGCTGC